AGGGGGAGGGTTGGGAGGTCAGGGGGGCAGGGAAGTGGGAGGGGCAGGGGCGGGGCTAGGGCGGGGCTCCTCCCGTCCTCTTTTTTGCTCGCTGAAATATGGTAACCCTATGTTTGCGCTAAAAATTTCTATGCTGGTTGTCTGCCTCAGGCTGAGTTTTATGGAAAATTTCAGCCATAAGAGTTCATCTTTTTCTGAGAATGACGCTAGAAAAAAATAAGTTGTTTGCAACATTAAAAAATTCTGGTGACCTTTACTTTAAAAACTCTAGCGTCTCCATGCTCTGGAGAGAGACTTTAAATTTGGCAGGAGGGTGGCTTTGTGTAACAGATATGCTTTTCACTGTTCCTGTGAAAATCCGCCAAAATTTGGCCAAGTTATAAGCCTTTGAAAAACTGCAGCTTCCATATGATCAGTAGACTTCTTAGATTTTAGCAGCTAAAATCTCTGTATTCTTTGTGCACTGAGCATGCTCAAGCCTCTCACAGCTCCTAGTGCTGATCAGACTGTACATGCGCCATTTGCACAGTGTGACTGAGCATGTTCCTTCCAGTCAGGGATGCAGGGACAAAGCAGGGAGTCTGCCTTTCCTGTACTTTCAATGACCCCCTGCTGGCACCCAGGCAGCATGGAGGAGAAAACTGCCTGACTTGAATACAAAGGGGCAAGATTCAGATCTGGGGAGTTAAGTGGAAGGGCAAAAGGTCTATATTGGGACGAGGAGCCATGCAGGACGAACTGGGACTGGAGGCTGGCAGGGAGGAGAAATGGAAACTGGAAGTTTGCGGGAGACTGAGAGCCATGAATGGACATGGGAGGGTCTGGGGGAGGGGGGAATTGAGACTGGATGAAAAGCAGGGGGGATATGGGGCTGACTGGGGGAAGGGCAGATGGATCTGATAATGAATTGAGTATAGGGGCAGAACTAGGACTGGCTAGGCAGAGAGACAGGGACAAGGAGCTGGAGGAAGCAGGGACATTGAGATTGGACAAGAAACCCAGATTGGGAGACTGGGACAGGGAGCCAGTAGGTACAGGGAACATGGGCTGGAAGAACCAGGGAAATGACTAGATGTGGAGTGGGAAGAGAGTCAGATGGAAGAGGGGGCTGGGAATGCCTGGATAAGGAAACGGGGGACAAGGAAATGAGAAAGTGGGGTGGGGACTGGGAATGGCTGGACAAGAAGAATGGGAGTTGGGAAGGGGTAGAGACATGGAAACTGGAACTGCAACAGGGAGTCTAGAGGGGTGAGTCTAAGACTTGCATACAAGGTGTGACAAAGTTCCTCCTCTATCTTGGTGGGTCTTGCGCTTATTGGTGGATTTTCTTGCCTCAGAGATTCACCATGTGGGTTGGGGAACAGCTAAGAGACCTTCCCCTCTGGAAGAACCCACAGTCCAGGTCAATTGGGAGGTTTGGGGGGGGAACCCGGGCCCATCCTCTACTCCGGGTTCCAGCCCAGGGCCCTGTGGACTGAAGCTGTCTAGAGTGCCTTCTGTAACAACTGCATGGCAGCTACAACTCCCTGGGCTACTACCCCATAGCCTCCTCCAAACACCTTCCTTATTCTCACCACAGGACCTTCCTCCTGGTGTCTGATAATGCTTGTGCTCCTCAGTCCTCCAGCAGCACACCCTCTCACTCTCAGCTCCTTGCGCCTCTTGCTCCCAGTTCCTCACACTCCCACCACAAACTGAAGTGGTACTGGGACAAGGAGCCAAAGGTGAGGAAGAGACAGGACTGGGACAAGGACAAGTTGGAGGGGATTTGGCAGTAGGGGTCAGATGGGCAGAAGAGTCCATACACACTAGAGGACACTCCCCTCCATAGCTTGGAATAGAACCCAAGACCCTGAATCTCACTTTTCATTTGCTGACAGCAAATATCTGTGAAACCCACTAGCAAAGTGCCCCCATCATCCTCTAGTGCTGGTTCACACAGAAGATGCCAACCTACCACTTCTATCACTTACTCCATTAGTTCAAGTGGCAGAGGTCTGTGTGGTGGATCTAACGTTTCCAGCCCTGTTAATGACCTATGTGAATGTCAATATGATATGACAAGATAGAATTTTTGCTTTTTCAGTTTGCTTTTATAAAGATTGAGGAAATTACACACATGTACACACAATATTAAAAAAACACTAATCAGACTGCAAGTCAAGCACTCAACAGTTTAGGAAATACCATGTGCAACCTTAATTCCCGCCACCTTGTGCATATGCATTATATAACAGACTTTAATTACATAATTATATACTGTTTGTTCCAGAGGACCCTTGCCTCTTTCAGTGCACAGACAACCTTAATCCCAGCATTTCCTAATGTTTGAGTGGTTGATTTTGCAACCTTAGTAATGTTCTCGTAACTGTTTAGTGTAATTATATTATAATTACTACAATATATGACTACAATATATGACCAAAGACATCACTGCATATATTTATACATGTCATATTTCCCACATTGGGTAATACTGCATTCTGTTTTCCCTTAATTAAGCATGCATTTAATGTTCTATTTTATCATTGAGATACTTAATTAGTAAATATTCAGCCATATTTGAATATTTTTTTCAATGTATATACTAAATTACAATTTTCTTTTCTCTCATCTAATATGTTAAAACCACAATATTTGAATGGGTAAATGTTCAATCTCTGCAAAACAACACCCATCTCAAGTAATCTGTTTTAATAGATTGACAGAGTACCGCGGATTGCACCACCCTTATTAGAAGGCCATCTTTGCAAAGCAATCAACTTTTGATGATCCTTTGAGTGGTTCTTAACAGGTTTCAGTGTATTTTGAATTTATATTTAAAATATATGATTACACACAGTATTTTATGCTGTATATAATGTCACCAAGGTGCTAATCCTACAATTGACCCATAAGAGGCACAGGGGTCTATCCACATGCAACAAGTTGCAGGAGCAGGGCCTCAGTTTGTATGCTGCTTAGGGTTTAGGAAAATTAAATGAACCTAAAATCAGTGAATAAACTAGACAAACCCAGTGAAAAGAATGGATTTACAAGTATAAAGTACATTTGAAGAATACCTTTAATGAAAAAAGTAATTATGCATCCCCAATGAAACTTGTATACTTATTTTTAAACAGGCAATCAAGTCTCTATTTTAAAAATTACATTACACAGTTTAATATCTTATTGAAATTATGGTAAAATCAGAGATGCATGGGTGGAATTGGCAGAAGAACAGCATACTAAGGCTCTAATTTCATATGGGCAAACAGACCAATTCTAATCTCTGGTACACGAAATACACATTATATACACACTGGTCATTACTAAATTCAACACTTACTAAGCTACTACATAGCAGCATCTGATATTTCTATTTTCTCATATTCCACAAAGATTATTAACATGTAAACTCCTTTCTTAGGCTAAAAATCTCTTTTCATCAGGCTTGATCATGCAACGAATTCCATGACTTCACTGGGGCTTCCCACAGATACAGGAGTCTGTCTATATGGTGCTTATAGCAAAATCAGGGCCCTGGACTGTAAGCTCCATTACTAGGTAGGGACAGTTTCTTAATATGTGTTTGTACACGTCACAGTACTATGGGGACCATTTCTGAATTGAAACCTCTAGGCACAGCTGTAATACAAACAACAAGAGTAATATAATTCTAAGAATTAAAAATTATGACATAATAGTTATTACAGTACAGTAACTTTGCAAAAAAATTTAGTGACAACCATTGTATATATCTTGAAAAGACCTGCAGGTATGTGTGCTAATACAGTAGCAGAGAGACTCTGTCCAGTTATACAGCATTGTATTAATATTTTAGATTTGTATTGAGATAATGTTCAATATGTCCTCTGAATATTCTTAGAAGTAAATAAGATTAAAATTATTTTCAAGCATGTGCTACATACTGATGCTAACTTACACTGTTATAATCTACAAAATAATATGTCAAAGATTATTGTAATGTTTGGAGTACCACCTATAAACAAGAGGGTTTCATTTAAATCAAATTTCTCCTATTCATAGCAACAGGCTGCAAGATGCGTAAAATAACAGACTGCTAACTTACCAACTCGTCTGGGACCTATATGATGAGTCAATGTCACTGAAGATGATCTTTGTTTTGGTATTGTCAGTAGGTTTGTACTGAAAGGCCCATTTGGATGGGATCCTTGGCTAAAATAAAAAACAACAAGAAAAATATCAAGCATTCTTTTAATCTGCTTTACTTTCTTGCTTTCTATTCAGTTGTCAGGGCAAATGCATATGTAGATCAGCTCATTTTAGTTTAGTAACACAAATCTAGACACACTGTAGCAAAATGGGTAGGCTATAATGACTTATACAGTACCATTACCCTTCAACAAGTAAAGTGAACAAGATGACAATATCCATTCGTTTCCATCTATTATATAGAACATAAATCTTTAAGTATGACATGAAACTCTGATGGAAAACACCTAGGTAATTCTAAAAAGATAGCATAGAAGCTGTGGCAAGTAGGCTGAAGACATATACTCACCTAGCACAGCATCTTACCTTTCCTTAGTATTGTTTAGAAAATGTATCTTACCTTCTCCAATAGTTGTTTCAAGCCCTGCTTCCAAATGCCACATAGTCAAGTTTTTAAAGGAATGTTATGGCCTGACAAATTTCCTCAAGCTATCTAATTATGAATAAACTAGAGAGCAATATTAGCATTATTGGGTTTAGTTTGGTTTTGCTTAGCGAGCTAGCATAAAATCTATGCTGCCCTTACATTAATTTAATGAGTATTGGTAATAAAGCAATACGAAGATCTTAATTCAATTTTGGACTAATAAGAGATGGGCAAATCTTTTCAGTCAATTTTGAGGTTTGCTATTAGTAAAGTCACCCTAGAATTTTCCTTTCTTTTAATCTGAAATTTTGGCAGCCAGTTAGTGGTGCCCCAGAATGCACTGTGTGACAGGGAGGTCCCTGAATGGTATGAAATTTCATCTACAATAAAAAGTGAATTTCTCCAGAGTGGCTGCTCAAATATTTTTATATGCACCAATACAGCAATGACTGCTATAGCACACTATGGACAAACAACTACATTCTGGTAAAGACAACTGATGCTATAGTGGGAAGGAGAGATGCGGCTATAACAAAGTTCTAGCAAGCTATTTGTTTGCTTATCTGAACTGCAAAATCTTATGTTCACTAACCACTAATTAGACACTAGAGGCTATTTTCCAGAGCACTACATATACACCAATTCTAAGTAAATAAATAAATCCACATCATATTTATTTAAACCTGAAAATAAACAATTAGAATTATCCTCTGTAAAATGGCCTTGAATTTTCTATACGTCAGTCTGGAATGGCTACTGTGTTCACTATTGTCACATGAGCAAAGGGCAGAGCTACAAATGGCTCCAAAAAACTGTTGCTGACATAATTAGGTAAATGCATCATCAGGCTTTTCTTATCATCAATAGGCATATTTCTCCTGAAGCAACTAAGTGATGCATAATTCTAAGTTATTTGGTAACAGTTCTGGCAAAGGCTTGGTAGGTCTTTTAGCACTGAGGCAGAACTCTTCATAGTTTTCTTCAGAGACATTGAGGTTAATATAGTCAAAACATCAGAGGGAGAACACACCTGACTTTGGACAGCAGAGTAGTAATACAAGTCTTCTGAGCTACAGGAAAAGACGGTTACTCACCTTTGTAACTGTTGTTCTTCAAGATGTGTTGCTCATATCCATTCCAATTAGCTGTGCGAGCGCCGCGTGCACGATCGTCGGAGAATTTTCTACCCTAGCAACACCCAGTGGGTTGGCTGTGGAGCCCCCTGGAGTGGCGCCTTCATGGTGCTGGATATATACCCCAGCCGACCCAGCGCCCCCTCAGTTCCTTCTTGCCAGCTACTCCGACAATGGGGAAGGGGGGCGGGTTTGGAATGGATATGAGCAACACATCACGAAGAACAACAGTTACAAAGGTGAGTAACCGTCTTTTCTTCTTCGAGTGCTTGCTCATATCAATTCCAATTAGGTGTCTCCCAAGCCTTACCTAGGTGGTGCGGTCGGAGTGAGAAATCGCTGTGTGCAAAACCGCTGATCTGAATGCAGCATCGTCTCTGGATTGCTGTACCAGCGCATAGTGAGCGGTGAATGTGTGGACTGACGACCAAACTGCAGCTCTACAAATGTCCTGGATCGGGACTTGAGCCAGGAAGGCAGTCGAGGAGGCCTGGGCCCTCGTGGAGTGAGCGGTGAGGTGCGGCGTCGGGACACCGGCCAGTTCGTAGCAAGCACGAATACAGGACGTGATCCAAGAGAACAGGCACTGTGAGGAGACCGGTGAGCCTTTCATCCGGTCGGCCACTGCAACGAAGAGTTGTCTCATCTTCCTAAATGGCTTTGTACGGTCAATATAGAAAGCCAGGGCCCTGCGTACGTCCAAGGAATGCATACGCTGGTCTTGACGAGTAGCGTGTGGCTTAGGATGGAAGACCGGGAGAAATATATCCTGGTTCACATGAAAAGGTGAAACTACCTTGGGAAGAAAGGCAGGGTGGGGGCGAAGCTGCACCTTGTCCTTATGGAACACAGTGTATGGAGGCTCAGACATAAGCGCCCTGAGTTCAGAAACACGTCTTGCTGAAGTGATGGCTACAAGGAAGGCTGTCTTCCAAGATAAGTACAGGAGTGAACAGGTAGCCAATGGCTCGAACGGAGCCCCTGTGAGCTTTGAGAGAACCAGGTTGAGATCCCACGTCGGAACGGGCTGGTGTTGCTGTGGGTACAGTCGGTCTAAGCCCTTGAGGAATCTAACGACCATTGGGTTAGAGAAGACCGAGGAAGTGAGTTCTCCTGGGTGGAACGCCGAAATAGTGGCCAGGTGAACCCTAACCGAAGACATCGCCAAGCCCTGCTGTTTTAGGGATAGGAGATATTCAAGAATAAGAGGAATAGGCGCCTGCAACGGGGGCGTGGCTCGTTGCTCGCACCAACAGGAGAACCGTTTCCACTTGGCTAAGTAAGTGGACCATGTAGAGGGCTTTCTACTTCCCAGCAGAATCTGTTGGATGGACTGCGAGCATTGCCGCTCTGTCCGATTCAGCCATGGAGCATCCACGCTGTGAGGTGGAACGATAGTAGGTCAGGGTGACATAGTCGGCTGTGGTCCTGAGAGATCAGATCTGGGCACAGGGGAAGCGTGATCGGTGTTTGAACCGATAGCTCCAGAAGCGTGGTGTACCAGTGCTGCCTTGGCCAAGCTGGAGCGACTAGAATCACCCGTGCCTGGTCTCTGCGTAGCTTGAGCAGTACCCTGTGGACCAGTGGAAATGGAGGGAAAGCGTAGAACAGGTGGTCCTTCCAGGTTAGAAGGAACGCGTCCGACAGAGAGCCCAGAGATCGCCCTTGCAGGGAGCAGAACGCGTGGCACTTCCTGTTGGCTCGAGATGCAAACAGGTCGACCTGGGGAAATCCCCACCTCTGGAAGACGGAATAGATGATGTCCGGGCGAATCGACCACTCGTGCGTCTGGAAGGACCTGCTGAGACGGTCCGCTAGCGTGTTCTGGACTCCAGGAAGGAACGATGCCGTGAGATGTATTGAATGGGCGATGCAGAATTCCCACAGGCGAATGGCCTCTTGGCATAGAAGCGACGACCGGGCTCCTCCTTGCTTGTTGATGTAAAACATGGCCGTGGTGTTGTCGGTGAGAACTAACACGCAACGGCCCTGTAGGAGACTGAGAAATGCCTGACAGGCCAGGTGCACCGCCATCAGCTCTCGAACACTGATGTGCAGGGCTAGTTGGGGTGCGGTCCACATTCCCTAGGTATGGTGCTCTCCAAGGTGAGCGCCCCAACCTAGAGATGAGGCGTCCGTGACCAGGTGCAGGGAGGGTTGAGGGGCGTGGAATGGCACTCCTGTGCAAACCGCCTTGCGGTCCAGCCACCAAGTGAGAGGCCAGGACCGAGGTCGGGATCGTGACCACCATGTTTAGGTTGTGTTGATGAGGGCAGTACACTGACAATACCCAGGCCTGCAGTGGGCGAAGTCGAAGTCTGGCGTGCCTGGTTACATAAGTGCAAGAGGCCATGTGACCCAATAGGGCAAGGCAAGTCCTTATTGTGGTAATCGGAAAGGCCCTGAGCCCTCGAATGATGCTTGTAACGGTATGAAAGCGATTGTCTGGTAGAATAGCTCAGGCAAGTCTGGAGTCTAGGACTGCCCCAATAAATTCTATCTTCTGGGTTGGCTCTAGAGTGGACTTCTCTTTGTTGAGTATGTGGAGGAAAAAGTTTGCTAGGGCCTAAACTTTAGTTGGCTCGGGCCTGAACTTTGGTTCAGACCTGAACATTAGTTAAGTCTATTGTAGGTGAAAGGTTTTTAGAGGCAGAATAGAGGAAAAGTACAAAAGCAGAACTATCTATAATTATAAGACCTGTGATTCATAGTACTGCATTGACAGTTTTGGGGAAGTCTGGAAATCGCAGTAGGATAGACTGTGAAAAACAGGAAAGCTTAGAAACCGCAATAAGGCAGACTGTAAAAAACAGGAAAGCTTGTTAAGCTATATTCCTTTTATGGAGAGTGTATTCCAAATATGGCAATAATGCTGATAAGAAAGTATGTATCATGTAATTGTGGTTTTATGCTATATAAGCTGTGCAAGATTCTGTAATCAGGGGGATTGCTAGTTTACTGGTACCCCCCATGAATGCATGAAAATAAAAAGGCCTCAGGCGATTCTGATTCAAACACAACACGTGGTCATTTTTCCACAACAATCTTGGTGCCAGTGACTCGGATCCACAGACTGTCCACCGGACCAGGAGACCGCGGACCATTCCCCTCCGAACCCAGCCGGCACTTGATAGGTGAGAGACCTTTTAAATCTCTATTTGGGTTATCGGTGGAGGACTGTCCGTAGGCCCTGGGTCGGGTGAGTAGCAAGCTGGATACGGACCTTTGCTGCCAGACTCGCCTGACAACTTTTTGGTTTCCCGGGAGGAGCCACGGGTAAGTGGCGGGGAGTCGGGGTT